TCCCAAGCCAGTTCTTAACCATCACGCCACTTGGCCGGCCCCCCTAGGCTTTATTTTTTAACACTTTTTGAGCCTTCTCCAGTTCTCAGTCAAATAAATGCTCAGTAAGACAATTAAACCAATGTTGCTTTGGAAAAAAATGTGACTTGTTAGTGTTTGCAAAGTGCTGAGAACTCTACTATCACACACACACACACACACACACACACACACACACCTTTCATATAAAAAGCCTGGTTTTATTTCCTTATCTTCACCCTGGAGACAGCATCAAAAGATCAGGCATTTGCCTAAAGCAGTCCTGACAACCTCCCCTTCAAGCTCTATAACTATAATGTCTGAAAGTCAAGCTGGATACAATGGTTCTGGGGAAATGGGAAATCAGGAGCTGCCTTGCATTCAGGCATAAATTGTGCCCTGGCCTGCGACAATAATTATCTCAGAAGAAGAGAGCTGCACATCCACGCAGAAAGAGGCCATATCAAATCCAGCAGGGTTCATTAGTGGCGTGAAATGTCCTATTTGATTTAAATCAAGAGGGTAGCAGTTCAAGTGAATCCGGTGAGTGATAAACAGCTGATCTATGACCATGAACGTAATTCAGGTTAGAGCAGCTGGGCCCTTCTGAAAAGGCCACCTAGCAGGCCTTGGGGAAAGCTGACACTGTCTCCCCTGCTCACTTGTCCTTGCTAGATCCTCTGAAGTGAAAATCCCACCCAAATTCCCCCTTTGCCACTGGAGGCTTCTTAGGTTCTGGCATTCGGAAGGACTAAGTCTTCTCTGGTTCCTGGTCTGGCTTCACAATTGCCTTGGACCCCAGGCCCTGAGAAATCCTGCGGATGATGCAGATCAATGGGACGAGCTGGGGCTCTCGGCTGTGAGCAGAGAAGGCACATGGCGACAGACTACATCAAAAATGCGCGCTGGCTTAAGACGTGCCTGCCCTGGCCGCAAGCCCGAGGAGATGAAAGGCCCTGCAAACAAGGACCCCTTGCCAGCACTAACGTATCAGCATCTGTGTTTGTTTAAAATATGTAGAGCGAGAGAGAGAGTGCTATTTTGTTTTCTCGCAGAACATTCGGAGCCAATTTCGGCACCCAGATCTTCACAGGAAAACCTCATGGGGCTCCGTGAGGTGTGAGCGGGCGTTAAGGGCAGAATTTCCTGCCAGAACTGGAAATTCCAACGATAACTGACATTGGATTATTATTTTAAAGGAAAAGAGAAACTGCTATCCACTTGAGACGACACGGTGATCACAGTGGTGTTTATGCCAAGCGCTGGAAATTCAAATACATAAATGGGCTTCAGCGTTTTGCAAAGTGGGGTCCCCCAACCAGCAGCAGCCCCTGGCAGCTCGCTGGAAATATACATTCTCAGGCCCCCACTAGACCTGAGAAATCCATAGCCGTGCTGGGGCCCGGCACTCGGGGTTCCACCTGGAGGTTTAATCCTCCAGGATTACAATGCACACTCAGGTTTGAGAATGACTGAGTTCCTTTAAAAGCCACCAGCTAAAATGATCTCTAGCCTCAAACATTTATTTGTCCCATATTGATTGCCCTTCCCATGTGCAAGATACCCCCCTTGCTGCAGTCAGAGCTAAGGAGGACGCTTGTCCTGTCAGCTAGGATCTCTCTGGGACAATGTGAAAATCTAGCCCCTACTGGAGTCCTGTGCAACTGTTACCAGGAGAGTGGGAAGGAAGCTAAATGAAAAAAAGGATTTCTTGCAGGCTATTCACAGGCATCCAGTCCAGGGTCACTCAATTGCAGCACTAGCGACATTTTGGACCAGATGCTTCTTTGTTGCAATGGGGGCCGTCCTGTGCATTGCAGGGTGTTGAGCACCATCCCTGGTCTCTACCCACTAGAGGCCAGCAGCACCCTTTCCTCCCAGTTGTGACACCCAAACTCTCTGGGGAGCAAAATCACCCTGACTGAGAAATTCTGGCTTAAACTGGCGTGTGCTGGCTCTGGAGATATAAACTACGTCAGAGTGATGCCTCTGGATTCTATAAAGGCCTAAGCTGTATTTACGACGCCAATGTCTCCACAACCCATAGCCCTCCCCTCCTACCCCCAGCCTCCAAAGGAATAAACTGGGCAGACAATCCTATGTTCCAGGCTACCCTGACTGACCCAATCTCTTCCTCCTCTTGAGCTTCTGAGGCTGTGGAATTCAGCGTGTGCCTCTGAGACCAAAGAATGGCCCTTGGGGCACTGCACCTCTCATGCCATCATGACCCTTTGATTTTTGCAGTGCTGCTTCCCTGCTTGATGACAACACAAAGCAAAAATAATATTGCTGCAGCAGAGATAATGCCATGGGGCCACCAAATCATTCAGCTCTCCGATAATATTTGGGTTGAAAATGGGAAGTTGTTTTGAACAGATTGATATATTAGGGGACAATCTAAGCATAATGTGAATTTCACAAGCACCTCCAGGTGAATGCAGAAAAGTGAACCCCGCTGAGCCCAGGGGCATAGGAATACACAAAATGCTCACAAACTGCAGACTGCGGCCCTCATGACACCCATTTCCATGAGACAAGCTCAGGGCATCCTCAAGGTGAAGTGACATATTTATTGTCGTATTGATATATTTCTTAGCCATTTAACGTGTCTAACATGGTTCTGCCGTTTTTATTAACTTCCTATCTTTTTTTAATGTGTCAGTGATGAAGTTTTTGAGCACTGTGCCCCTAACCCTATTTTTCCCACAAGCCACCTGGTTTTCATTGTTCATTTTTGTAGAGCGCCGTGACTTTGAGGAACGTATGTCACATTACAGCAGAATAGGCTGCACCTTCTCCATGAGCCTGGGAGGTAGAAAAGCAGCCCCAGCCTCCTCCTTTGGCTCCTCCCCTTTTGGGCTCAACCTGCAGCCTCAGGCCAGACAGCAGCCCCACCTGGAAGCTTCTCCCATCCTCTCGGGCTGCACTGGCCCCTGCATTAAGTTCCCACAGCTTCCAGTCATTTCTTTCTCAATGTGCTCGCCACACTTACTGCCATCCGCTACCAAGTGCTGGTCCCCAAGTTCCCTAAGGACTGGGACTCTGTCTTATTCATCTTGTTCACAGAGTCTGGCCACAGTACACATTCTGTCAACACTTGTTTGGCCACTCACCCACTCCGCGTCACCAGGCACTGCCGGAGCCCCAGTTTCCGGAAGATGTCCACCACCGTCTCCATGGGCGTGTGGTCTGTGACTGTGAAAGGGCTGAGGTTCAGGACACGCCGCAGCTTCAGGGGTTGAGGGCTGTTGGCCGGCAGCTCGGGGGGCTCCTCCGTGAAGTACATGATGGAATTACTCACGATGCCCTCCTGCCTCTGTCTGGCATTCTCTGGAATGGGCAAGCAGGACCGTAAGCCACAGCGAAATCCTTTACTGCCAACTCCCCCCACCCCAGACCTTCAGGAACACGTGCCTTCCCTCCACCCACATCCTAGAGTCCCACAGAAAATGGGTTCAGAAGTCAAACTCCACGTTCTTACAGAGAGGCTCCAGCCAAACATCTGTGAAACTGGCATCTCTCTCAAGCTAATGCTAGGCAAGGGTCCCCTTGCTGTGACCCGTGTGACCCGATCGTTCATTGCCAAAGTCTTGAAACATGGGCCTGACCAGGCTGGCTCCTGTGGGGGAAGCACTGCTTCCCCTGGACTCCAGGGCACCCAGAAGGCTCAGGACCCTCTACCCTTGCCTTGCCAACACTCCTTCAGCTCATCGTGCACTGAAGTTTGACATGATGAGAAACCTCATTTAGCTGCCCAGTGACCTTAATACACTGGCTTCTTACAAACTAACGTATAATTGACTCAAATGGCATTCTGAATCCTGAAAGGAACCGGAAACCAATAGGACCATCTCAGGCTCACAGCCCAGAAATGCCGCTCAATCCCAAATATGACCCTTGGGACCAAAGAAATACACCTAAAAAAGCCGCATCCCCCACCCCTTGGATCTGCTCTCTTAAAAATGGACCATTTTGTGGATTTCTCAAAGAAAGATAGTAAAACTGTTATGGTAACAATTAGCCTATTTCTATCTATAGGCAAGGCCGTGTGAAAGAGAGCTGAAGAAAAGTAGGGTAACAGGAACTCATTAGAAATACAGCTTTATGCTGTACTAGAAACCCAGGCTATTTCAAGTCACACATGAAATAAATCTATCGGTCTCAAGATATTTCTCCAAGGCGATTTTCCTTCTGTTGGAATTTTAATCCTTCTTTTGGTTCATGGGAAAAGGTTAGGAAAAATGTACAGTGATGCTTGCCTTAAAATGGATCCTGGTTTCTATAATACATTTCTTGCCTTCTCAAAGACTACTATTCACCTATATTGTTCTTTGAGAAATAAAATTCTAACTGCCTGCTTTAAGGCCATTTATTGCAATAGAGTACTCTAATGGAAAACTGGCAGCATTCGGGGTCAGGCTGAGTTTGAAAAAGGGTCTCTGTTTAAAGGAGGAACAGAGGGCCCGCTGGGCAAATGCCTGCACATTATTTGGGTCAGGTTAAATCTAGTTACATCAAATGGGCTATGATTCAACCACAAATACCAGATGACACTGATGCACACATTTGCAAATGTAGATGCTACACGATACACACAGCACACTTCTCTCCTAAATCAAGATGGTTCCGTCCTGAAGCACTGAGGCAGGGGGCAACGGTCAACACATAGTTACTTATTCATTTTCATAGACCAACTGAGTCTCTGAAGTCCCATGTAACAGGCATCCCATCTCTTTCAACAATCAGGTTGAATGTCAGGAATGGGTCACGCTGCAAACCTCAGTCAAGCACTGATCACATGGATTTGTTGAACTCCTTATAAAACCAAGTACAACTTAGTAAACTGTCGATCCACTTGTTGAAATAAATAACAAGCTTATGTTTCCTCTGAAATCTACTTGATTGGGTTAGAAGCCCTAACAGCAGCTAATTCAGTGAACTCTTGCTCACCAATGCATTCCCAGTGCCTGGACAAAGCCTAGTATACACAGACACAAAACAGTTACTTGCCGAACACATGTGTGAACTAATCAGTCAACAAGTGAATGAGTGAGTGAGGAGGCCTACTAAATGTCGGTGAACTTGGTTCTGCCTGTCACATAGAACAGAGCCTACTGCATGTAGGAGGCACTAGGGATGAAAGCCCATGAGCTGGTCACTGCCAAACAAGAATTAAAGGCAGCAGCTGGGGTCAGAGCTGGAAGTCTGAGCTGTGCTCCTTGCTCCTCCAAGAATGGCAACTGCTGCTCTCTCCATAAGGGCCCTATTAGAAAGACTGATCGCAAAGCTTCAAAGTGTAGGGGTAGAGGTGCTACATACAGGCCAAAAGCGGGTGAATGGAAGAACAACCAGCAGGAAAGCACTTCGCATCCCTCTACTAAGGCGAACCATAGACTCCCGGTTTGGACAAGAAATTCTCATCGGTCACCAAAATGCCTGCAACAAATTCTAGCATGTCAAGTTCACAGAGGGCAGACACTGGATACGGTCATCCCTATACTCCCAGCTCCTAGGACTATGTAGGCACGTGGTGGGTGCACAAGAAAGAGTTCCTGTGTGAAAGGATAGAGCAATTCCTCCCTCAGGGGATGCTCCAATACCATAAGAGAAGAGAATCCAGGACCCCAAGGACTCATGGGAGTCTATGTTAGAAAAGAAACAAACCCAAAAAAAAAGCCCAACATTTACATGTAAAAGACAAGATGGAAATGCACTTAAACATTAACCATGGCCTTCTATGGTGTTGAGAATGTGGGGGCCTTTTGCTATTTGCCTTTTTCCTTCTGATTTCCCTAATACTCTATGGGTATATATTACTTTCACTTTAGAAATAAATTTCATTTTTAATTGTTTTAAAGGTCAAGTAGTTAAACTGTTTTTAATATAGGTTTATTGTACATTCTACCAGAACTAGTATCAGTGGCCACAGCTTCCAAACAATGATGTACATTTTATGAGCACCTGCTAAGGTCATTCGACTTGACATTCCACTTTCTAGCAGCAATCCAATCATAATGCCAGGTACAGAGAAGGTAATTCAGAAAGTGTTGGTAAAATGAACTTCACAAAACTATGATAGGCCAAGAAATTTTAAAAGACTAGAAATAATCACATATCTAGTCAGCTATTACAGTGGCTTTAGAGCAATGGTTCTCAATTGGGAGCAATTTTGTCCCCACCCTAGGGGACATTTGGCAACATCTGGAGACACATTTGGTTGTCATAACTAAGGGATGGGATTGCTACTGACATCTAGTGGGTAGAGACCAGGGATGCTGCTAAACATCCCACAGTGCACAGGATGGGATCCTCTCAACAAAGAATGATGCAACCCCGGGCCAGCTAAGCGGCTCAGTTGGTTAAGAGTTGGCTTAAGAGCGCAAACTATGAGCAACAGGGCCACCGGTTCGATTCCCACATGGGCCAGTGACGCTGCGCCCGAGCTGAGCTGTCGCTGAGGATGGCTCAGCTGGTGTAACAACAAGATTGCCTGTTCGATGGTGGGCTACGCCCACCCGCAACTAAGTCTGAACTCAGCACCTTGAGCTGAGCTGCCACCCGAATGGATCAGTGGAGAGAGCGTGTGCTCTTAACAACAAGGCTGTTGGTTCGACTCCCACATGGGATGGTGGCTACACCAACCCACAACTAAGACTGAACTTGGCACCTTGAGCTAAGGTCTGACGCTTATCTTCTTGTCCAGTCCTGGATGTAGATCCCTTTCTGCAAGTAAGCATCTTCCACATGATGGACAGTCATCATTAAATCATTCACTAGGCGAAAAAACTAGAGTTCCCTTAACTCTTTTTGTTTTTTTAGCTGAGCCATCCAGCCACCTGTTGGCAGCTCAGTGGCTGCTCAGTTCGGGCCAGGACTCGAACTGCTGTTGCTCAGAGCTCACACTCTTGAGCGAGCTCTTAACCAACTGAGCCACTCGGCCGGCCCCCCTTAACTCTTGCTCATAACTCTAACTTTCCATCCCTTTAATCATCTTTGTGGCTTCCCACTGAGTTTTCTCTGAACCTATTGTCACTTAATTGCGGAACTCAAGACTGGAAGAGCCTGAGCCCTGCTGAGCACAGAAAGAGCCTAATATTTGCAAAGAGCACCAAGAGGTAAAGCCCCATTTACCAGGAATTTGAACAAGGGTCACATATGGCCCCGTGTGTGTGTGATGGTGAAAAGGGTCGCACTTCCTAGGTGGTGCCAACTAATCACTAAAAAGACAACGACTATATTCACGAAAGGGCACATAATTCTGCAAATACACGTCACGAATTTCTCCAGCAGAGCACAGAGGCCCTTCTATTCCCACAGACCAGGAAAACAGCTTTTCTGATTGCTCAGAGTGAAACACCCCTTGCTTTTCCACAAAGCATGTAAATAGCGGCTTCTATACCATTATCAGTCTGATTGAAAGCATGTAGGTATTATTTACACCATGTGTTGCCTCTTCAGACATTCCAAGCATAGCTTCTAGGAGAGCACTCGGTTGGCAAGTTTAAATTTCTTCTCTAACCGGTTGATGACAATTGCTGCTCCCCACTTGATTACAGTAATGGGTTTCAGCAAAATTAGTAAACTGTCTCTTAGCAGGTGTGCCTGGAGCTACACAACAGGTAATGGATTCCGTGACATTTATTACTTTAGTTTTTAAATTTCAACCATTGCTTAAAAGATTTTAGGGATTGAATAAATTTTTAAAGGCTGCTGATTACATTATTTTAAAACAAATCCAACCCTACTTATACAGCTTTTTAAAAAAATTCTCATTTTTATAGTCAATGCTTATGCCTAAAGGCACCTACCTGTTAAGCAACAGGAGCTATAATAAAGAGAAGCATCACTGAGCACTTAAGCACAAATGTGCTGTCGTGTCTGAAATGTAAAATCAGTTGTTGCTTTGGGGAGGTAAATATGTCTGAGCAACAACCTAAAATTAAAGGATACAGGTTATCTAAATTTATTTTTATAAAGCCTTTGATGAAGATACTTTAAAAATATTTTCAAAGAGACTTCAGGAATTCAAAGGGAGGGCCTAAGAGATAATGAACACAGGCAGGGAGAAGCAAAGGGTTGTCAGGTGAAGGTGCGCTCCCGGTGGGGTAATCTGCGGTCATAGCGAGTCCCACTGGCAATCTTCATAAACACTCTGGAAGATGGAATACATAGTAAAATCATCAAGTGCACACCTGAGCTGACTCACGGGCCCCACCAACTGTGAGATGCTGGTATGGTGTGCAGATCGCAGGGCAGGGATGTGAGCGGGATGGCATTCGTGTTTGCCATGTGCCATGGATGCGCTCGGCTCGTCCCTGCCCGGCTGCATTGGGAGGACTCCAAGGCTCAGTGCTCCTCCTCGCTGGGGCCTCCAACGACTCATACCCAGGCCTTGGCCTTTGGAAGCCTTTCCCTCCTGCTCCCCTTCCAATGAAGCCATCCCTAGGCTGATGGGGCCCACAGACTTGCTTCCCTGAGTCACCTGTCTTCAGGACACCCTACCTGGGCATCGCCCCTCTCTCCTCTCCCAACTCAACAGCCTGCCCGTCAGCCCAACTAATTTCAGCACACAAGGAGGAAGAGCATCACAAGGAGCTGGCAGGACTTCTGCTCGTTAACCCACATGGGCCTCTGACCGGTGGAATGGGACATAATGTCACAAAGGGAAGTGAAAGGCTGTGCAGTGCCAAGAGAGGCGTCTGAAGCGAAGAACTCACCATCTCACCAGTTAGCCTGCCTGAAAGTCTGTCTCTGAGACCAGCTAGGCCCAGGCCAGTCCAGGCTCTCCCATCTCTTCTTTCTCAGCTTCACCCAACGATGAATTCCCGAAAAGGCGGCAGCAGCAGCAGCTTTCCTCCTAGCAGGACTGGGGCCCAGGGAGCTGCTTGCAAACATGGCGCTCATCTTCCAGTCAAGAACACCTCTCCCAACACATTGCTCCTCTCAGCGTGACTTAGGGACCAGCAGCATCAGCATTAATGGGGACCTTGGGAGGAATGCAGTCTCGGGCCCCACCCCAGACCCACTGAATCAGAATCTGCATTTTAACCAGGTCCCCAGGTGACACGAATATACATTAAAGTGTGAGAACCCTGAGCTTAAAGCCCTCTGACCTTTGTACATTCTCACTAACCTTTTAGAGAATTTGGGGTGTATAAAAAATGCCATTCACCTCTTACTAAGACGTGAGCTTCCCTCTTTTTACTCACTTATTGCAAGAATCAATTCCCTCCTCTGCGCAAATCCAATGAGGCGCTCAGAGTCCCTGGAGACCACCACGGGGAAGCCATTGTAGTCAGTCTCCTTGATGAGTGTCTCCACATCCTCGACGGTCATGCTGTCCTGGGTGAGCACAGACAGTGGCGGCTCTCCCCGCCGCGGCCGCATGACGTCCGTGGCCAGCGTGCGGTGGGTGAACTCGTCCTTCACGTCCAGAAATGGGTACCCGTTTAAGTGGATGTGAGCCTCGTAGATGCCTTCTTTCCCAAAGGCATCAGCTACCCACTTGCTGGTCACGGCTGCCGCCATCAGGGGCACAATGTACTCTAGACCCCCTGTTAATTCAAACATGATGACCACCAACGACACCGTCATCCTGGTAACTCCTCCTACAAGTGAAGAGAGGAGTGAAATTCCGAAACTCAATCCCAGACCCTCAAGAGGGCACGAATTAAAGACACTGAGAAGCTGGCTTTAAATTCCCCCGACAGAAGAGTTTCTAAGGAGACAGTCCTACAGGTCGCCCACGCCCAGACCTCTGAAACTGAGGGACCCATAAGTCACATCTGACTGCAGGGCTCTTCTTCAGTGAGGGACAACTGGGTTGCCTATCCACCTAGGACCACACGCCTTGCTTTTTGGTGAGTAGATTCTATGCGGGCTGTGCAGGTTTCTGACTCAGCAAGCGTGGCCCTCTTCCAGAACCCCATAAGCTGGAACACTGTAGAGATTCTTAGAGGCTATGGACAGGAGAGGGACCCACCCTTGCATCTCTTAGTATTCAAAGGGAGAATCCATACCAACTCCTAATCTGCCAATGAGCTTAAACTGGGGTTTCTCGAGCTCAGCACTAGGAACACCTGAGCCTGGATCATGCTCCGTGGCGGGGCGTCCTGTGCCCTGTAGGATGGTGAGCAGCATCCCTGCTCTCCCCCCACTAGATGCCAATAGCACCACCTCCCAGGTATGACAGCCAAAAATGTCTCCTCCATTGTCCAGTGTTCCTGAGAGGCACAATTGCCCCGAGTTAAAAATCACTATTCTAGACGGTACAGCTGCAAGATGGTAGAAACTATCAGTCTGGGTCCCTGAATAACTGAGTGGAGAGAAGCCCTCTGCTAATTCACATCACACACACACACACACACACAC